CACAGGAAAACAAAGAAACTCCAAAGCATCTTTCAAGAGAAAAAAAAACTCCGAAATGGATGAAGCCAGTTTCCAAACTGCAGAGGCCTTCCAAAGTCATTTCTCCTGGCAACTCTGTCCAGATGCCATCTCTATCCTTAGCATTAAAACTTCACCTACATTTATCAGTCCTCTCCATTCCAGGCAAAAACAACTCAGGTATATATTTACAACGATTTCTTTGAAAACATCTAGAGATGTTATTTTTTACTTTATTACACTTTATCTTTTCCCCAGATCCCTTACACTCCTGCTATGAGTGAAGCCATCCAGTATTTTTCATATCTTTATGGCTTATTTTACTAAGCACGATCTTTTCCAGTTCCATTCATGTTCCCACAAATGGTATGAGCTTGTCTTTTTTGATTGCTGAGTAATATTCCATTGTGTATATGTACATCTTCTTGATCTAGTCATCTATTTTTAGGCATTTGAGTTGATTTCACATCTTCCTTATTGTAAATAGGGCAGACACCTATAAACCAGAGACATTCTATGGGGCAGGAAAGGGGAACAGGATCAAAACTTGGGTGGGAAGAGCACATGGGACTATGGCGATGGCCCATGGATGAAGTGGTGGTGGGAAGTCCAGGGGGGTTACAACTGAGAGGAAAAATGTACAAAATGAAGAATGATGTAAAAAATACGTATGTGAAAAATTGTACAAAATGAAGGATGATGCAATATATATACATATATACATAATATTACATAAAATAAAGTGATCTACCGTCATGCTAAAAAAAATCTATCTGGGGCTCTAGCCTGCTGTTCCTCTCTTTGTCAGGTTCACCAAATGGTGAGAACAGAGCTGAGCTCTCTAGTCAGGGGCAGAAGCACAGTACCGTTTGTCAACTCCACTCACTTCCAGACTGTCCTGTGCTCCCCATTTCTTCCTTACATTTCACTGTAGACCCCCAGGCTGCCTGGTCCAGGCTAGCAGCCCACTCCAGGCTGTAGGATGGGGGCTGGACTGTGTCTAACCAAACCTGATGCTCTTAATGCAGGCACACGATTTGGTTAATTAGCAGAAAAATATGTAAGTGTGAAGAGAAAGACTTGGATTGAGAAGGGGAGAGAGAGGGAGGGAGAGCGATGACAAGAGAGAGAGTGAGAGAGAGAAAGAGAGAGAACAATGATTTGAATGTCTAAAAAATACCCACTGTCACATTAAATACAGAGAAGACAACTGAAAGAAATTGTGATGGGGGCTGTAAAATTTTAGATTTAGTTGCTTCACTTCTTCTATCAGTCCACTTTGAAAGAACCAATGGGAATCAAAGAAGGCATACAGATCAAAGAAGGTGGACCCCAAATCAACAAACTTATTATTTAAGAAAAGTGCCTGAGCCCCAGAATTTGTGCTGACAAATAGCAAGTGAATGCATTTTTTATACTCCAGGCTTAAATGTTAAGGTCTGTGTATCATTTTTCTAGGATTCTCTACTTGACTCCATGCTTTCTGAAAGCTACCGCTACATTCAAAATACTGCCAAGACTTTTCTGTGGGGGGGTAAAAATGCATGTGTGTCGAGCTTTACAATACTCTAGAACCAATCTGTCACTTAATCAAAAACTGTAATCTAGCCAGTATGTTATATTTTTGTTGGCCGATACACTGGTTGCTTTTATAGTGCTGCAAAGCTGTTAATATCACTTCAACATGTCCTTGCGGTTTAGGGTTCTTGTTTGTCTATAGCTTTTGTTTATTTTGCTAGACTTTTTACTTTGTTTTTTCTTTTTATTTTAGTTTGAAGACTAAGTCTTCCGTGGAACAGCAAAAAGCTACCTACTGGCATTTATACGACCTCCACCACAAGAGGAAAGGACAGTTGTTCCACAGTGCTGATGGCCCCGTATCTGCACTATTATGAGTACTGCAAGACTGGGACACTGACTTGATGATGTAACTTTTAAATCTGCATTCAAAGACAACCTTTTGTTTTATGTAAGTAGCTAAGGCCACATATTTATTTTCCTTTTTCCTAGGTGACGCCAGCCCCGCGTGAGGCGTTCCCTGAACTGGGAGTGAGTGGAAAGGAGATGGGTAACTTAGCAGGGGCAAGTTGTGTGTCATCTGGAGGAGGAAGCAGCCCTGCAGTCCTGCCTCCCCTCCGCTCCCCTCTCCCCAGTAAGCCCTGCTCAATTTCCCTACAGCCCATGGGGCAGGTAAGAAGGCGATATTCCCCAGGCCTTTAATCGTAATCTCTCTTATCTTCATTTGTATTACCCCTTAAGACATTATTACAACTGAAGGAAAAAATCATCTTCTATGACAACAATTTTCAATGTGCTCTCTTTCAGGCTCTGACCACATGCTTGTAGGGATATTTTACTTTACACAAGTCTTTCCAGCTTGTGCAATTCTGTGTTCTGATGGGCTCATTCATTTTGAAAAAAAAAAATCTTTTCATACTTCCATTTATTCATTTACTTATTCACTTAGCATTTATTAGTGTACTAGATTTTAGGCATTATTCCAGGTACCACGAATACAGACAAAAACCAGATCCCTGCTGTTGAAAAAATCTCAAGTTAGTGGAATATACTAGATAATGCAGTGCACAGTATCGGGACAGATACAGATGCAAAGGCCTCTCTGTTGGCCACCTTAATGGCTTCGCCATCTAGCTGGATAATGTAACTTCAATCACATAACTATTCCCTTTCTAAATTATTTTTCATTATCACAAGCAATGCTGCAATGTACTTGTTTCACTTTTTTTTTTCCCTGTGAACTATTATCTGTGGATAAATTCCTAGGGGTGAGAATACTGGAACTAAGGGTGTTAATTCAGATTTTTTATAGCTCTTTATGTGCCTCGTTAAAAAGCTTCATATAAGAATCATAAAGCTACACAAAGCCACTAGTTCTTCTAAGCACTGACAACAGTCTTGCACTAAGTATTTTCTTAGGATGCTCAAAAGCAGGAAAATCCTGTTATTTAATTAACAGCAGGGTGGGACATTTTCTCATGGTTAAGATTACTATTTCTCCTGTCGGGATTTGTGTTTAGGGCAACTTTATCTATCACTTGTCATTATTACAATAGTTCCCTACGATATTTTCATATGTGATATACATAGCAATGTTTCATCATAATTTATTGCAGTTTTTGTCCAGTTTACCATCCTCTTTATATAACTCACTTGCATTCATACCAAAACGTTAACTCAAAAAATAAAATTTAGCACATCTGCTTATTTCTCTCTCTGGAATTTCTTTCATGGTTTCCATCTTAAGAAATCTGCCCTTTTGCTACTAGCATACATGTTCAATTCTGTTGTCCAGTCTTCCTTTAACTAAAAAAAATTATTGAAGCAACATTGCATTGCAACATTATAAGTTTCAGGTGTTCATTGTTGAGAATAAGTATTTTACTCATTCAATTTTGAACCACTATCTCCTCTGGGCCCTTCCTGACACCAGGGATAAGAAGCAAAGAATGAAAGGCTTCTCGGTACAGGTTATCCCCAGCTGGAAATAGGCAAAAGAGCTTATCGCATGTCTTCCCAGTGCCAAGCTGGGAGCCCCACTAACTGGCTCTCAGGTACATCTACCTGTGTTTGAGAGATTATGGGATGATTCTGCCTTCACTATTTATGAAATCAGTATACAACTCCATTAGTGCTGATGTTAACTGGTCGAAACCAGAAGCAATCATATAATCCTTACCAGAGAGCAATAAAACTTTGACCAGCAGAGATGCAAGTGAATTCTCCCCTTGAATTCAATCTCAAAGATTATAGTTTTATCACCCTATAAGACACTACGTGTAGTCCTGCGTCTAACTACACAATCTTAAATATTATTTCTGTCACTCTTCCGAGTTTGCTAGCATTACGCCTTTCACAGGGCCTGCCGTTTGGCGTTAAACACAGCTTTGCTGCGTGCGCACATGCTGCTTGCCTGAGAGTCAGGAAAGCTGCTACCACATCAGCCTGGCCACTGCTACCTTCACCCATTTTACCTCATCCTTGACTTCCAGCTTCCTTTCTTGCAAACCGTGAGTTTCCCTGAGGTCATTTTGGTATTCTGGAGCACAGAGCAATCTACAATTGCATTTCTATCCACAGGAACATGTGTTGAATCAAAATGAGCCACAAGATCCCAGGTGTGGAGCCCAGGACCCCCAGGCCTGAGGGGTGGAGCCTTAGCAGCCCCTCCCAGCATGTGGTAGGACTCAGCTGGTGGAGAACCCAGGGCTGCACAGGGAGAGAGGGAACCAGGGCCTCAGTCTTTCAGTCTGGGGGTCTGGTTTCAACCCCCCCAGCTCTGCCTCTCCCATCATCTGTGAGGTTGGGATGTGCGGATGGGCCAGTGAGTAAAGCGCCTGTCACGCCTGCCACATATTAGGTCTTTTAATAATTGTCACTTCTTTTCCTTCCCTCTGAGTCCACCATATCCCCCACATGAATACTGAGTCTATCCCTTAGCGATGGGTCATGGCCAAACTGGATGCCCAGAAGAGAAGCCACTCATACTTGAAGCAGAAGGGGAAAGTCAAGGTGGCACTGGGTTGGCATCTCAGAAGTACCTAGTACAGGGTGTTACGGGACAATGCTTTTTTTTTACCTCTGAATTTTTTTAATGTAATAGTAGTTTATTTTTACATCATGCTGTGCCTTTTTCCATCTCAGCTGTCATCCCCACGGGCTTCCCATCACCAAATCACCCATGTGCCACCACCATAGTCCAGTGCACTCCACACACACACACCCCGCCCCCGTTTTTGATCCCGTTCCCCACTCCACCCCTGTAAAATGTCTCTGGTATACAGTTGTTTATTATTATTACTTTTCCCCTGGCCTAAAGGACAGTGATTTTAAGTGGCCACCCATCTGCCCCCAAATGGCCTGGGCTCACGCCCCTGGAGACCTGCCCCTCCACGAGTACACTCTGGACAGGACCAGGACAACCCAGGAGTTCAGACAGCGCCGCCACCTGCCTGCTCACTCACCTCCCCTACCACCTCTATGATGTCACCGACTTTCAGCTCAAGCTCGTCGTCATTCTGGGGCAGGTAGCTGAATGCTACCTGGCACCGGCGCCTCCGTCGCTCACCTGGATGGGAAAAGCAAAATGTTTAGACTCAGCTCTTCTCCTAAAATTAGATTTTAAAGAGAGGCTTCCTAGGCATGCAGGCAAATTAAGCTGACTTGTCTCAAATATGCTCTCTGGGACATGGCTAGAGGCACGGCAGCCCTGGTCTTTCAGAGAGAGGCAGTAAGAAAGCAGAGCAATGCTTCTTGGTCTTTTTAAAGCTGCTGTTCGGAAAGGCATGGGCATGAGACATCCATCCGTCGGTGCAGGAGGCAGAAACCCCACCCCCGAAGCGCTGGAGCAGTGTTGCCTGAAACGGTTTTCCATGGATGGGGCTTTGTATCTGCCGCTGGCGATTTTCAATGAAAGCTGGTGTGATGTAGTAGAGAAGAAAGAATGGTCTGCTTCTACTGCTAGCAAAGCAGGGGAACGTTTTCCCAAATGTGAAAAAGAAAAGATAAAGTATCTGGCCCTTTTTCTCACTAAGCATCACTCTTTCAACATGCTGGAACTCAGGCCTGATAGCAAAGGCCGATTAGATTTCAGCCTATTCTTCATGCCATTTCAAATGCCCCACAGGGGATCGACAAAGCCACTTCTGTCCTCTTCCCTCTGTCCCAGAGGACCCATTAGCAGGCTCCCTGGCTGCTCCGACAGAACCAGCCCGGCCAAGCCAAAAGTAAAGCCAGGGCCACGCCTCACGTGAGCAGAGGACACTCAAGGTCACAGTGGCGCCCAACTGGGAGGCCCTGGCCAAGAGCAAACCCAAACACAGACGCACCGCACACAGCACATCCACGCCACATTCGACGGAGGAAAGCCTGCTGCGGTGCGTGACAGACGGCAGGCGGCAGCAGGCAGGCGGCAGGCGGCAGGCGGCGGCAGCAGCGGCCCAAGCCGGGGAGCGGTGGGCAGGAGCTAAGAACTGAGACCTGCATGGCTCAGAAGTTTGTCGCCCTGAGCCCACCACCTCACATCTGTCCTCCCTGCCACCACATGGCCTAGAAAACCGAAGGCTCAATGACTTCAAGGAGACGCATTTAGAAACGTTTACGTTATTTTAGGATACTACCCACAGGGCTTCCTTTCCATTTCTCATCTTTTCCATGAGAAAGGGCGCCCCTGCAGGACTGAGGCCTCACATCCAGAGGAAGGCCGTCACGTGTGATGTGCTCACTGATCGATCTTTTTCAAAAGCCAGTGGCCTAGTTCTCTCTGCTCCACTTTTCTCTGCCTGAACCTCACTAAGGGAGAACAGAGGTAACAGAGGGATAGGGCAGAAGCACGGAGTCAGTGTCTTGCCGAATCACATCCTTGGTGCCCACTCTCCACCCCTTTGCACAGAAGCACCCGCCACCTGGCTTTCATGAGACCAAACGCAGCTTCCTCAGACCAGCTCCCCGGGTGATGATACTGTCAGCAGGTGAAGTCGGGCAACCAACAGGCCTGGTGCTCGCAGAGACAAAAGGCGTCCCCTGGCTGGGAACGGCACTCCCACACCAAGTCCTCCACCACTATTCCTGGGCTTCAGATACAACAGGAGGTGAGTGCAGCACCCTGCATCGCCAAGGAGACGCATTCTCATTCCACTTACGAACATCCAGATGCAGAGGGACCTGGGCACCCATCTCCACCCCTGCAATGCCCCTGCCCTGAGACACACCTCTTAAGCTGAAGTTCCACTATACATTTTTAAGAGCTCTATTTGCTAGATGTTATAACAAAAGCAAGCCCTGCTGCTAGAAATCCGAACCCAAAACAAGTAAACACGACAAATGTCTGAAAGCCCACACACACCACCGAGGTCACCAAATGCTTGACCAAATCGACTTATAAATAACATCTGAAGCCCTAGTGTTGGCTGAAGTCAGAAAACTTACTTTTAAATTTGGATCTTCACAAAGCCCTCTGTGAAAAGTAGCAAGCAGCCAGCCATGCGCAATGACAAAGGGGAAAAGAACCTACCAGGTTTAGGCCCTGCAACAGAATAAACCAGTTTCCCGGCATCGAACTTCTGTAAAGCTGCTTGGGATTAGAAAGAGGGACACATTTGGTAATGTCTCTGCCAAGCCAGTCAGTTCGTCTAAGATGGCTGTGAGAAGATTTTTCAACTGGTGGCATAAAGTCTGATAAAACAAACCAACAAACAAGCCCTGGAGCCGGGAGGCTCTGGGAAGTGTCCAGAGGCTGCTGGTGGCAGAGGCGCCTGATCTACCCAAGCAGGAACGGTCCTCTCCCACTGGGAGAGCCAGCGCTTCTGATACCCATCTCCCCCTCATCCTGGCAACCACATGGGTCAAGACGGAAAAGGAGCTGGAATGAACAGCCATTTCACAAGTAAGCACTATGGGCTCTGGGACTTGCCCAGGCCACCCAGTTGGTAAGTGGCCTCCTTGGCCTGCGTTCAGCGCGCTCCCTCCAGTGCTGGACGAATCATTCAGGTCACACGTCGTTCCCAACTCTCTGTTATCTGTACTTAAATGCACATGAGTAAGGTCGACGTCACAAGGTGTTCCTGCCGGGTCGCTACTGCCATACTGTATATGGCTACAAAATTGACATGCAAGAACCCGAGCCCATATGTAGGAATGCAAGTGCACACAGATGACAAGAAGGCCACCTCGGCTCCTCCAGTCGACCTCAGAACCATCTTCCACTGGTGACCAGCTTTGTTTAAGCAAACAGTAAGCACTAACATTTATTGAGCACTGACTGTATCAGACTGTTAAGCCTTTTATATGCATTGCTCCACTCAATCCTCACTTTGAACCTCTGGGTATGAACAGTGACCCTCTTTTTACAGATGAGCAGACTGATGAGGCACTCGGAGACCATGGATTTTACTAGAGGTCTCACAGTGAGAAAGCAGAGGGCCCAGGATTTCAAGCCAGGAGATACAACAGCAGACACAGCCTCCTGTGCCTGACTGTTCTTAAGACTTCTCACTGGTGTGCCTTGGGAAGGCAGAGTAGTCTCGGTGGGCTAACATGGTAAATGGTTAAAATGTGAAGCCAGGAAATGAACAACCACAAATCAGGAGCTTTTCCTTAGGGTTGCCAGGAACCGGGGCCCATATTTTAATGAAATAAAGCTGGTTGGCAGGAGAAGAAATGCAGCAGATTCATCTTCTCTAGAAGTAAAATAGAAGAAACCAAAAAGGGTGCTGTGACCCAGCCTCAGAAAGGGCACATGTCTAGATCCTAGAGCCCACCGAGCACCTACAGCGGCGACACTTCCACAAGGCCAATCCGTTCACAGACCACAAAAAGATAGTAACAAATAATGCATTGGTGGAAAAAGAAGTCTTTGGGTCAACTGAAAATGTTCAACACACACACAATCTAATCTTTCACATCCCATATCCCCTAAAACAGAATATGAGTCTAATGAGGATTTAAATAATTTGATTTTCAACAGCTCCACTAGATTAATCAAATGTATCCTAGTCACATGCCCAGTGAATGTGGCTTTAACCTAAAATTGTGTCACAAAAGAGAAGACACTGATAAAAGTCAAAGAAGAAATCCCTAATTCTCAGTTTCCAGGTTTACTTCTGGCATGCTCTCCAGACATGGTCTGTGTGAGAAGGTTGACATTTGGAGCAGACCTTTAGCACTGCACCCTTTGGGGTCGTGACCAGCATCCTGCACTGGAATCTGACCTCATGAGTGACACTATCCACGAACAACTCAACATCAACAGTCCATCAGCAACTATTATAGGCCGCAATAGGTGACACAGGGAAAACACCCTGCGGGAACAGGCATCTCCCTTTGCAGACCCCTAAACAACAGCTTGCAATCTTGCCTGCACACTGAAACCACTTGGGGGAACTTCCGGAACACTACCACAGACTTTCCAAATAGCAGTACTCGAGAAATGAGGTCTTTTTTTTAAAAATGGCTTCTTCCAGGGCTGGAGCAAAGAAAATACAAAGTGTCACTGTAACACCTGGTCGTGCCAAAATTAAGGAACTATTCAAACACCTGAGCAACAACTTCAAAAGGACCCAGGGATCAGCTTGATGGTACTTCCACTGGCCATTCTGAGATTGTAACATTACTGAGAAATGTATTCCCATAGATTTCAAAAACCAATCGAGAACCCAGACACGTTCAGCAAGTAGCCAGAGTGACAGCTAGGTAGATGGATGCACGGATAAAACTAGCTAAGTGTGGCACAAGAGGGAAAGCTCTTTTTCACACAAGAATGTCAACCCGCAAAAATATAGAAATAACGAACATACACAAGCACATTTTATAGCCATCACAGCGGAACTGATTCTGGCAGGAATCAGTGGTTGCTAACCAAGTGACAGTTTGCTGGGGATTAGAAGATTTACAGAGTCTCAAAGTATCTCCTCCCCCACCCCCGTAAATTGTTTATTCATTACAAAAGGAAAAGGGTCCACTTCAAAGGGAGAAACCTGGGGGATACAATTTTACCCAAGTGACCAAAGTTCATGTCACTAATGATGGAGCAGACTGCCATCAGGGGCCTCCTTATTCAATGCCCTGAGGCTTTACTGTCACCTACAGAACTCTCCTGCCCAACCCTTTAATCCCATTCTGACCACGAGGAGACAATTACACAAATCCAAAGTGAGCAACAGCCCACAAAAACTCACTTGGGTTTTTAAAAAGTCTTCTAAGTAAATATCACGTATTTTTAAAAGGCTAAGGAACTGTTCCGTATTTTAAGAGCAAAGAGATACCACAATTAAATACAATGGGATCATTACTAGGACCTGATGTTTGTAAAAGGTTACAAGTAACACTGTTGGTAGAACCCAACATAGACTAAGACCAGATGAGAGCACTGTATGAGTGCTTCACCCGGCGGGCCCTCCCACAGGATGGATAAATGTTCTTGCTCCAAAGCAGTTATGGGTGTCTTGTCCTGATGGTTTTAACTTGCAAACTGTTTAAGAAACAAAAGGTGGGGGGGGGGGGTTGGGGGGAGTGTAGAGAGAGTGCAAGCAAGCAAATGTGACAAAAAGTAGCACTTCATTACTCCAGGTG